CCGGCATAATATATTATTAGGTACGTCGGTACATGTAGGGGAGAGTACAATGTTATATTATGCTCTGAAGCTTTTATCTACTTTATACGTCTGTCTGCCGAATCAAATATGAATAATATATTATTATAAACATGTATATAGGAAACCCGCGAGTGCGTACGATTCATATCAGAGATGCGCATTTTACAAATGAAAACAAGTAGAATACAAAACAAAAAAATAAGTGCAGACAAGAGTATTTTTTACTTTTTTTTTTTTAAATTTTTTTTACATGAAAATCCATTGTCAGCCGTTTTGGTTTTATTTACTTATATTACATATATATATATATACACACGCTATACATATATATTATTGGTTTTGATGAAATACTCATTTTATTCGCCAGCATGCGAAAACGGTATACCCTCGAGGGAATGTAAATTCGCGGACCTTTTTTTCCCTTTTCTTTTCATAAACAATAATATACATATATAAACAAACCAGAATTTTTTTTGGTCCAAAATCAACTATACATTTAGTTATTCCAACTAGAATATTATTGTGTCCCTATATTAAACCTAATTTAAGGTGGACCAACTATGTATTTTTCGGTGTGTCAGACTCGAAGCGAAAAAATATCTCCATTGCCTCTACGTTCAGTCACTCGACTCGTACACATACACGGACTTATGGAGAACTCGAGGTTAGTTTATAAAGTATATATTAAAAAAAAAAAAGATAATACCGACTATTGGGAAATACGAGTAGGTTCACACACGCCATACTGCACACATACTAGGAACACTCATAAATCGTAACCGACCGAGTGTGTGTACATTATTATATACTTACTTACTTAGATGTTGAGACCAGATACACGAACGCGCGCACATGACGACACCGCGTCTCCCGGAAGAGATAAGAAGACGTGGTCACGACGGCCGTGTATTATAAGGTGGTAGGTACACACGACGATCGTCACAAGACAGAAGGGTAGAAAACAAATAGTAGTTTATAAAAAAAATACACACAGTCTGTGGCTAGAAGATACCCATATATATATATATATATATATATATAATACACACACAACTTAACCGGCTGTAAATCGTCTAAAAGTCCTCTGACATAATAATATCCTCACTCGGCCGTTTTTAACTTAATAGGTCTTTTAACCGTACTATGTGTGTGTATGTGTGTTCTATTCTGGCCGTGGCAGATATTAAACAACGCGCGATGATAATACTATTATGAAAAATATTAAAAAACAAATCTCCGAGTGCACTACATATGTACATACAGCTATAATATAGTCGTTTTCCAGTCGTGTGCCAACAAGAGAAGGCTTTGCCCGTCGCATCAATCATAACACACGGCCTATACGTATTGGCCGTTATCCAGTGCGGTTTCAATCCCATTCGAGCTACAGATGGGGGGGGGGGCGCCCAAAAGTACCTTAAGTATGTGATTATTATTATTATTAGGTGTATACGGTTTTGCGGGTGAACGAGTCTTAGCGTTTTCTGTCCCTTAAGCGCGCGCCCGTTAACGACGGATTTCCATCAACTGTATATTATTATATTATATAAATATTAACATCATAACGCGTTAATATAGTTAAGACGACGGACGTACACCATACGGTTGTATTTTATTTCCCTCGACAAACGCTGTATATATATTATACAGACCGCACGTCTCGTGGTAAGTCGAACGAGCCGTAAATATGTTTTATAAGACACAGCAGCGCAGTCGGGGTAAATTATATATGTTTTATTTTTGTGTCAAACAAATTAAGAAACCGTTCGGTCCGCATGAAAAGTGTTTCAACGAAAACCAAACACGCGAATCACAACAATAATAATATATTACATTATATTTTTAGAAGTGAAAAAAAAAATTTGTACGACGATAATGTAGAATTTTTTTTTTCAAATCCCATTTGAGTCCCGTGTACGTGAAACCGATTAAAAAAAAAATGCAATTTATTTCAATACATTGGACGACCACATAGGTGCCAAAAATAATAAAGCTGTCACAGCGAGAGAGGCTAATTGACAGTAAAATTGAATCGTGAAGGGCTGGTCGATTTTGGGCCAGAATATCTTTAGAGCTATCCATTCTTGAGGAAAAGTTTTTTTTTGCTAACATTCAATAGATACGTTTTAAACTTCTGAAAAATCTGAGAGCGTTTTTCCGTTTTACTTTTTTGACCAAAAACAGGGTTGAACGACATTAGAGACCTGAACGAGTACCTAAATAATAATATTTTGGTGTCCGATTTCTTATTTATACACTGGACGACGACGGTCTTGTGTGGTCGGTGGATTACCGCTTATCGAGTGATCCAGACAACAAAACAAATCTCAACAGATAATTTTAAAACCAATACACATATTTATCGAGTTGGGATCAGAGCCAATTAATATCAAGTTGACGTACCGAGAGAAGAAAAATCACAGCACACATTATTCACTGTGTATGGTAAAAATGTATATGTGTATGTAGTTATGCAACAGTTGTCTCGTGAGGTATGCACCGAAAGTCGATACGTCTGTTGCCGTGACTGAGATAAACATATCAGAAAATCCTATCCACAATCGATATTCGTGTGATTTTTACAGAAGTGTATTTCACGGGGAGCAACACCAAATTTAGTATAACAATACAACTGATGCTATTCAACAAGCCTGTACTTGTAAAAAATCTGAAATCAATCAACTGAGGTACCTCGATCAAGCTTATCGTCCGGGTTAATTGACAAGTGTATTCCTATGTATTATAAACCTAACAGCTATGGATTATAGTATAGTGTTTGAACTGTACTTTTTTAACGACCGTCGACAGGACAAAAAACTCACACACATGCATATTACAACCGATTATAATCTCGAAATAATTGTTTAAAACCCAGAATTATTATTATTTGTTATAAATTATAATATAACAAACTATTGACTATTGGAGGGGCGGGGAAGGGTTAGTACATAAAATATCCGCTTGTGTGTGTGTGTTTTTTTTTTATCGCAACTAGATATTATTATAATAATATAATATGTCATTCCGGTTTGTCAGCTGAGGTTATTGCACGTCGTCTACAGATTGTGATGACTGCGCTTTATTTTTAAGGGCCGAAACAGACACGAGAATTCGCGTACGAAGAAGAACAACGCGACTACGACGATGATGGTGAAATAAAAAAATATGTATAGGTATATACTATATTATATTGTGTGAGGTAAAAAACAAAACGTCCAATATAGACAGCTGAGTCATTTAAACGGATATCGTAGCGAGCGCAAAGGTAAAACATATTTTTCGGACCACGTTTCAGTTATAATAATTGAAAAACTTAAAAAAACTGAGGTGTGGGTAGTGAGTAGTAAGTAATCCGACAGTTTTTTTCCCTCTGTTAAAGTTTTGACTTGGCCATATCGACTTTGCGAAACCGACAGCGCGACAACAAATTAAAATAACTTTTATAAAGTTTGTGTTATTTTTTTTTCACATTGATAGAAATACAGCCGTTGAGTTTTTAATCGGATCAGAGTATTCAGAGTATGTTTTTTCAGTATAGCTACCGTTCTAAGATACTTATGACACAACAACGCGGCGGCCGTCTTAAGAAGTCTACACCGCTATAATGTTATATCTATATAGTATTATTTTTAGTTGTGTATAGATAAACATGGTATTTTTTTGTTTATATTGAAAGTGACCCTTCTGCTTTTATCCATTTTGTGGTGGTTCTACCACCTCCACTTTCGATTCATCGTCAAAAATATTATATTCCAGAGGGGTTGATAGATATATTAGTGCAGTAATATATAGATATATTATTTAGTATGTATGTATGTATGTGTGTGAGATTGACGGGCCGCCGATTCTAGCGTGTGTGCAAAACCAGTTCCCACCAGATAATAGTAATATAATAGCAGTGAGTGTGTGCAGCGGAAGGGTCTGTCGTTCGAATGAAAACAAAAGGGTTGCTACCGTGTACTAACCCTGCCCGCGTGACGTTTAAAAGTTTTGCTCGTCGATTTGCCACCATAATATTATACGGTTAACGGTTTTTGGTTTTTCGAGAAAACGAATCGATTCAAGATAAGACCATTGGAGGAGAGAACGCACTTGCGGTGACTTGTAATGTTTTAGCAATGACTGGAGTCGCAGTGGCGCCCAGGCCTATTCTTAAGTGCACGGCCGTTGGCTGCACGTTTGGTGAAGGACTCTTAATGGTATTGTGTGGGCAAGATACACATTTTGTGTGCATATTTAATCGGAAAATAATTGCTACAGAAAAACATAGTGATTATATAGTAACTCGCGTGGAATTATTTTACATATTTTGTACACACTACAACATGTAGCTCTTTAGAATTAAATAGGTTGTTGTTGTTGTCATACAACTGAATATTTTTGTTTGTTTTTAATATTTGATTTACTTATAAATACGAATATTAGTTTAAGAGTTTGGCGCCACAGGATAGAAAAGTTGTCACGAGATACTTTACCGGGACGTGGGTTTAGTATTTTATAATAAACGCCATTATTTTATTAAAAATATATATTTTCTTTGGGCCTAAAAGAGCCATTCTCAGGTTTTAGACAAACCCAATTGGGTACACATTTTTACATTACGCTTTATTCGTGTCAAACCCTTTGTATTTTTTTCCCAAGAAAATCGTTTATAAATCATATTTTGTCCTCGTGGAAAATTAAATCTAGCGATAAATATCAACTGATCCTTATCAAACCTCTAATTGGGGTGACTGCAACCACTCGGGATAAGTGCGAGCGCTATATTTTTACGAGTAATAATTAAAAATGTTAAACTTTTAATACGAATTTTATGAATGATGGAGTTTTAATTAAACCATAACGAAATCTTTTTGTGAAATATATTGTAACGTCCAATTGGGATTCGCCAAAAGTTCTTTAAACGTGAGATTTGATGGTGCTTTTTCATATTGAAAGCGATACGATATTGTACTTAATAGTATTATGATGACACTCACAGTCGTTCGATGTTGTGCGGTAGGTTCCTGGGCACTTCGTCCAATCCTTTCTTGGAGCAGTCGGCGGTGGTCTGGTCGCAAGAACACAGCCAGGGACATCTAACGTCGTCGATCAGGTCGTTGAGGTCGCCGCCCCGGACCCAGGGGGGGCCCAGGGCCACGATCAACAGGCATAAGACGCCGGATCCTATCATGTCCCGGAGGTTCATTTTTTTCTTTCTACAAAACGCACTCGCCAATACGGTACACACGAATTTGGCGCTCCGGTAAAATACAATATATACCAAAGTATTATTTAATTAATTAATTAAAACCACCACTTCCGCAGTGGATCACACGGGCCTCGACGAGGGTCCCATTGACGACGACACGGCAACGTTCGCCCTCGGCATTTTCGCACTCTCCCGGGCAGCACAAGGCACAAACGGTCTCGTTAAATAGTATATTGATAATAAATAATAATATACAATATAATAACGCGAATTCGATCGAAACGTCAACCGAAACAGAGGGTACGCGCGGACGTGGGCAACGACAGAGCTCGCGTGGTGAACTGGACCCGACGGTGGAGGCGGACGGTTAGGGTCTTTGGCGAGACCGGCCCGCGACGACCTCTGACGGTTTGCCGTCGAACCGCCGCCAACGTGTGTCTCCACCGCATCCAAACGAAATTCCATATTTTATAATTGCAATTATTGTTGGGTTATAGAAAAATATACAAACACCGTACCTGAAACAAGTCTGAAAGTGATAGGTGAACATTGTAAAAAGTGTTAAGTACGGATCGCTTAATTGGCAATAAAATATGTGTTTATAGAAGTTTTTTATTTTATGTTTCTACTTTCTCCGATGAAAAACCATTACTACAGCTGGTATTATATTTTAATTTAAATGTTAAAGTAAGAATAATCTACTAAACATTTAGAATAGACTTGAAGATATAAAAAAAAACATCTTTGTAAAAAATATACCTTCAGCTCTGCATCGAAGTTAATATAATAAGTAATAACATATTATAAAATATTATCTAATTAGAACATGTTATTACATTACAAATAAACATCCAAATTACCATCCGACAAAAGAACTATTACTGCCTACTGGTGATTACAGTATCAAAAATGTTGGGAATTCTTAGAGGTTTTTATTTCTAACGCGTCGCTGAAGTCCGAGCAGCAACGTTCGAGCAAGCCTAACACCGAGGATGCTTTGTTTTTTTATTATTATTGAATAATCAGCGAAATTCAATTTGGTGTTAAAAAAGACATCCACAGTCAATGAAGTTTGCTGGACTGGAGAATTTGATAAATCATACTTAAACGTAAGTTCAGTTTCTTATAAGAAAAAGTGTAATTACTGAACCTTTAATTATGTAAAGTTCTATGTCAATGTTTCAATACCAAGACCTAATAATTTCGATTCTAATTCTGTACAATCAGCTATAGATAATATATTATTTTACAGATGTTATAGCATTGTTGCTGAAGATATATGATTTATGATACAAATAGTAGATAGCATAGATAATATACTTTACTATTTGGGAGCAATTAAATAGGAAAGAGGTCAAACCATGACACGGTAGAAGATTGATGATACTATAATTTTTCAATTTTAATATAATATTATGATCAGCGTGGTCGAAGGCTTTTTGAAAATAAGTAAAAATGTTTAAAAAACATTTTGAATTGTTGAAGAAACTGAATATAAAATATATTTAAAAATGGCAAGTTTTGTTATAATTGTCATAATGGTTCGTTTATTATATTACTGTCCAAGCAATAGGCGCGGGGTTTCTTCTGCCCACGACGGACGCAGTCGATTTCGGCTGGTCTAGCAGTAAATTATGTACGTTATTATTATTATAATTTTCACTTAAGTTTTTTCAAATATCGCACGCAGCGTTCGAGACGTTAATTCAAAACCGGTCAACTCGCGTTGTTCAAAATCTCTGCACATACCGGATCGATACCGCCCACTGGTTATGTATTGTACTTAAATTAAAAACTGATGTTGGCGGTGCCATCTTCTTCGACTCACGTTAACGTTGAGAACATTTTTTTTTCTTTTTAATATAGCCAGCACAGTGCAAGACCGAGGGTTAGGATAGGTTAGGTTACTTGAATACTATTAATTTATGTGTTAACTTAAAAACTCATTTTAAATTTAGAAACATCTTGGACATTTCTATCTAGACACGGGCAGAGAGTTATAATGACTCAAAATTCACTCGAATAATATGTATTAATTATTTTGGTTTTGTCTTAATAAAAGAACATGCCAAAATCTGCCAAAAAAGATAAATTAAAGAAAGAGCGTCGAACCTGTCTGGGTCAAAAAGTCAACCAGTCTGGTAAAAATACAAACAAAATAAACTGTTGGTACGAACACGGTCAAAAGACTGGTCATGTCATTTTAAAATTTAAGTAAAAACAGCATTTAAACAAAACTTTTAACTGAACCAAGTGATATATAGTTCATATATAATCAACAATCATCATTCATCAGTTATTTTGAATTAGGGCAGGATGCTACTGAAATGTTTGAGCATCAAGTCTTTCCAAGTCTCTCTTCTTATTCCCGTCTGTTAGCTGAAAGCCTGAAAAAGAAACTTGTCAGAGTTAGGTAACATTTGCGATTGGAAGGTTGGAATATGAAAACTCAAGAGTGAAAATGTAGTAGCTCGTGTAGTATCCACATGTTAATCAGTGTACATACAAATATACTGTTGTACATAAATCATAATATTATCTAATTAAATTATTTGTCATGAAATATTTTCCTAGTAGGTAATATATGCCGTTTCTTATGTGTATACGTGTATAGTCTGAGAAGGCGACATTTTTTTATTTTTCCTTTAAATATTACTAAAGATTAGTGGACGCTTGTTGTTGAACGTGGTCCAAGTAGTAATGCATATATGTGTTGACTAACGACAGACGTTATACTTTATCTTGACTATCATTCTTCGGGGCCTGGATGGCTGATGGCTCATTAAAACTTAAATGCATTAATGTATGAGGAATATGACTTATAAAATACTATTATTTTTGTTTATTACATTTTCACGGTACTTTTTAGCAGATTAACAATTATTTTAATTAAAAACAAAATTAAATAACTGTGATTAAAAATTACTTAAAATAAATTAATGTTTTTATTGAGTTTTAATATTAAACACTAATCTATTAGAAGATCTACTATCTTCTATCATACCTAGAAAAAATATAAAACATGTTAGTTCACTGTTAGTCACCCGACTCGTGTAAAGCAAGTCATACAACTACAATGTTGTAAATTATTGATTTTGATTATAATTAGTCATTTTGTTATGGTTGTTTTTCACATTTTTATGTATAAAACATATTATTTTATATTGGTTTAATAGTTAATACACAAGGTTTGATTGAATCACCATACACCGATGTCCTGATATCATAGTTGTATATTTTTTATTAATAGTTTTAAATTTCGAATTTAGGTTTCCATCCAAATGTGTTGACAATTTTTTTTAATTTGTAAAATGTATGTGTAAATTAAAGTCTAGGCATTCAATCAACTTGTATTTTATGGTTAATTAAATTAAATTAGTACTCATTAGTAGATTATAATAGTAATAAACGACATTAAATTAACAAACATGTTTTTGATATACTTGAATTATAGATTAATGGTCAAGTATGTAAACACCAAGGTTAAACGATAAAAAAGAGCAAAAACTTAACAAAAAGAGCAAAAAAAAGTTCTTAAGTCATAACCTATAATGCTTACAAGTACTGCAAACAAATGAATCGGTTTAGTTCTGCTTTCTTCTTTGGCTTGGCTTAGTGCGTAATCGTTTAGGCTAAGTTTGCTGGCAGATTAATATTACTATTTCATATAGCTGTCAACGTTTATGAGGACAATAATTCCAGCGTAGTATGCACGCAATAACAGAGTAATGCGGGCTGTAGTAACTGTAAGTTTGTTTTCAAGAATATTCAATAATTTACTTTACCCAGACAAAACGCACACCGTCTTGGATAATAATAATAATAATATTATGGCAAAGATGTAAATAAATCTATATTTGTGGTTGTTGAGGAATTCTGTAACCGCAAACATCTCGATGTATGGAGTAGCTGTTGACCGTATAACACCCCGTCGGTACCGTCAAAACAGTACAACGGTAATTATTATTGCAAAATCGAAATTGACATATCATATTAATTATTGTTCCGGTGAACAATACCATTGTGCGTGGATGAGGTTATTTTCAAATCAGATTTTTGGAACCCGTTTGGCTCTAAACTCGAGTAGATATAAAAAAAAAGGAGGGGGGGGGGTTTAACCACTTGTTGATGAATTAATATAGCGTCCTCCGGTCTTGGATCATATTATGTTATCCTTTTGTGTGCACATCTCGGCGATTACAGACAAGGCGCGGGTTTAAAAAGAAATTAGCGGCTATTCGCGTCGAACAGAGGTACCTATATTATATTGTAGTGCCGGAGAGAAAACCGTGTATTATCTTATGTACGAGTGCGCCTTGGGGGCGAAATAAGATTTCCCGAGATGAACTCCTCCTCGACAGGCGCAAACCGTTTAAACACAATATATCTCGTCTCGTTTTGCTCCGGCTCGGTACACACAGGAACAAACACACGGCCCCGGTGGGTGAGCTGTCTGCTCGTCTTATATATACATATATATTTATATATATTCTTTTGTCCTCTACTTGTGTTCTTGTACCTACTCCTGTGAATGCCAAAGAGCCTCGGGCACGGTCCTCTGCAAACATTTGTCGCATCCCAAATTAAAAGCTTCGCATGTGCAACGTATTTCTTTTTTTTTTTTCTGTGCAAGAAAAAAAGGTAAAATACACAATAAAAGTATTAACTTGTACTTAGAAACGCGATTACATTGTTGCCCTCCGTAGAAATACAACATCACTTTTACAGGGTTACTCTTCATTATAACTATTACTAGCGCGTTAGCAAAATAACATTTTTTAATAAAAAAAAAAAAAAAACTATGTACTGAACAACTCTGCAGTGTGAGTAATATTGTGATTTTTGGAACAAAAGCGACAATGATAATGAAAAAACACTACTCGGTGTGTAAACGTTTTAATGAAAAATGACTGGATCACATCCTGCACTGTACACGGCTTCTTTTACAGTTACACACGAATGACCCAAATTAATTGTTTACATGTTTTTTTTATGTATTGATTATTAAGACTAATATATACATTATTATGACTAATAGTGATCATCTAATCAAATTTATTATGTAATAATTATTTTACCTTGTATTGTATAACAGTTTTAATACTAAGGCGGTAAACAAAAAAAAAGGGGGGTTTGTAAAATATAGTTGTTGCTAATAAGGTTGGATATTCTACTAGTATAAGTAATAGTTAAAGAAATTCCGATGTTTCATAGGTACAACATATTTTTATAATACTGTAAGTTGTACCATAATACATAAACTGTCACCGACTCGGCCGGTTAACTCACACGAGTAAATCAATTCGTTATCAAGCCGGGTAGGTACTTTC